AGAGAGAGAGAGAGAGAGAGAGAGAGAGAGAGATATCTCTCTCTATAGATCTATAGATATATATATCCAATGATAAAAGTTGTCCTGCTTTCCACCATCCAACATGATAAAAGTTGTCCTGCTTTCCACCATCCAACATGATAAAAGTTGTCCTGCTTTCCACCATCCAACATAAAGCTAACACAAGGTGTGGACTACCAGCTTTGACTGAGGAAGAGTAGTGAGGAGCACAAAATAAATGAGTATACGTGGGTGAGGGCTTGTTCTTTGAAAGAAATCTGTCACTGTGCCTTGAATTTAGGCAAAAGTTTGAGAGTCTCTTTAAATTTCATGGATTTTGACTATACTGGGAGTTGGAAGGTCTGCCTTCTATAATCACACAATCAGTTCAAGAGCTGTAATAAGTGAGATCTGCATTTGACATAACTCCAGAAATGATCTCGCCAAAGATTATACATTTTTTACAGTAAACTTAAGGTACAATTAGTACATTTTCTACAATTTACAAAACTAACCAGAAAATAATAATTATTGTCAATAAGTTAGTTGCTGAAAACTAAGATTGCATGTTTGTGGCTATGCAGGAGCGAAGTGGATTGGACTGTCCTGTCACAAGGGAAAACAATTGTGGTCACCCCAGTAATCAATCCTAGCCAATCTTTCTATAACCATGTACAACCATCAGACAATTGGAAAAAGCCTATAGACATCTGAGCAATCCCAATTGTTTTTGTGGACACCCTGACAGTCCAAGCTGGTCCTGGTTAGTGCCCTTGGCCCCTTCTTTTCCCAATGATGTACTCTACAGCAGATCCAGGGAAATGTGCACCTGCAGCTACCAGTGGTTTAAAGAGTACGCTTTTTCTTTTTTCCCTCCATGGGCTTGTTTTGAAGATTTTAATGGAGAGCTGTACATTTTTCTTGCATATTATATTGCTTTATATCTGTGTCTTATGGCCAAAGAAAGCAATCTGAACTGTACAATTTAAACGTGAGCTACTTAGATAAGGAAAAGGCCAAAGAGCCACATTATGAACATTATATAACATCAGCCTGAGCTGTCATAACGATTATAGGTCTAAAAACAAAAGCTCATGTAAAAGGCATGCAACCCATCTGATCTGCCACTTAATCTTTAAACCAGAAGATTAGGAAGGTAAATCTTATTACATATTCAAGTGACTCAACAAGATCCTATTTTCCCGTTCTGAAACAGACCCTTGAGAACAGCTATTTGCGAGCACAGAAACAATGGCTGGCAGTAGATCTGTGCTATACCGAGGTCACCCTTTCTTGGCAAGCTTTGTTTAACTAGGGCCCTCTGCCAAAAGGTATGTTTAGTTTTCACCCAAAGCAGCTGTGAAATTGAAACCTCCACCAAACCTGACAATAGATCTCAGGGGTGCTGACAGATTTAACCTTAACAACAAGTCCTTGATTGTTCATTTCCTTGTGATTTTGACTGTTCAGAAAATGTTATTGAATATTAAATTATCAGCCCAGTAAATATAAAACTGAAGGAACAACTCGAGCAATTGTGCAAATCAGAGTTACACAACATCTTTTCAATTTGAATTGTTTTAGTATAAAAAGATTTACTTACTAACATTCAGAGTATAAAGGTGTCCATAAATTGGATCCCTATTAAAATTGTTTAGACCATACTAGATTCAAGCTCTTAATTTTATCTGATCGCAGATCAAAATTTTAACCATAAGGAAAACAACTCGTGAAGCCATGTTTTACTGACTGATTATACTCACTGACTACAGTAAAAAAACAAAGAACAAATCTGACATGGTTATAGGGTTATAGAGATGTTATATGTTTTATTTTAATTTGACCAATCAGAAGTGGATATCTCCTAAAACCATGTGATATCACAAGGCTGCCTTCTGATGCTCCAACAACATGTAACAAAAAGATGAGTGGTACCTTCATGCAAAACCAAGGTGTGAGGCAGTGCATTTAGTAGAAAAGGCTAGGTCACTGTGTTTAATATAGAGGCATGCTGCACTGGATTTAAAAAGAGGAAATGTGTGCAGAAGAGTAGTATGGGGCACTATGTGTATTAAAAAAGCATCAGGCACTACATGCAGAGGCACAGTTACATATGTGAGGAGAAAGAGGGTAGAGACACGTTGACGAATGTGCCTTGCCAATCACAACGCAAGCTGGTTGTGCAGATTGAGAAATGAGTGAAGGTGTACCATTTGATGTTGTGAACATATGTTTATTCTGTGGCCAGAAAGTATAACCTCCACACTTATTACAGAATTTATAGGAGGAGGAAGAGACACCAAACACACTTTTGAAAATGAAAGACAGCATAGATTCAATTGGTAACTTCCAACTGCCAACTTATACAGCCATTGTTTGACCACTTTTTGTCCTTGGCATGTCATAAACGATGTGCAGTGTATGAGCATGTTTGGACTTTCTGTGCCTTTTGTAACATAGCTGGCACTGAGGTCACCTATGCAAAAAATATCTATCTATCATAGTTACATAGTTAGGTTTAAAAGGAACCATGCCCACCAATGGGCATATATGTATACTTTTGCTTTTTGTAATTTTGTGTATACTGTCTGTGGAGCATGAGCAGTGCTGTGTTCACCCTCCGCTCATTCCCGGACATTCTTCTATGGATTTTTTTCCATAAATGTATGTAGTGGATTATATTTGTGTTTTTAGGACAGAGCCACAACCTTTCTTAAAGTAATTTGCTAAATTTACAAGAACCAATTCCCATGGAAGACTATTTTAAATTTGTATTGTTCTTACAGTGAACCTAAAACAAAAAACTCAAGATCTGTTATTGTATAGGAAATATCTAAAAATTATGATTGAGTATAAGCAGTACCCTGATAGATTTACCATTTGTTTTGAATTCCTACTGAAAAATAGCAATGCACTTTCTATGCCTAAAATCTCATTGCTGTATATCTTTACTGTAAATCTAAGGCACTGCTGCCTTTTACTGCTAGTCTCACAAGATTTAACCCTTTCGCTGCCATCTCTGTATGCCATAGGTGGGCAGTAGCGGGCCCCTGTAAGCAAACTTTTTACTGTCGGCTTTAACACTGGCAGTGGTTCTGGTGGCTGTAAAGCCTCTTGATCACTTCCAGGAGCGGTAAACACTTTTCCACCCCTTACCCCCTCCTTTGTTTCCTGGGCTCCGCTGCCCCTCCTACCGGCCTGGGATCTGTGTTTGATCAGCTTCAATCACTTGTCATCTCTTTAGTGATGCCCATGTCATCACTAATGTGTTATTACAAAGGGGCTTATGAGCCCCACTATGTGATAGCAATGAAGTTAAGTAAAAAAAGTAAAACAAAATTAAGTTCATTAAAATACATTTAAAAACACCCCCAAAAAAGTCAAAGTCCCCCATCCATGCATATATTAACATGCTATCACAAACATATGTCGGGTGCACCTACACACGAAAATGTCAATTGCGCCAAATATGTTAGGTATCGCTACGTATGCCAGAGTGAGAGCATTCTAGGGCCAATATTCACAACTCTAAACTGATCTCTAAACTCTAAACTAAACTCTAAACCTGTACAGGCTTTCAAATTATCGCCTATGGACAATTTTTGGTACCATATCTATGGTACCATATTTTTTTCACTGTTTCAAGGGCATACACAATGTTTAAGCTTGGCGTGTTGGGTATCTATTTATTCAGCACAACCTCATCTTTTATATTTGACAAAATTAGTATCAAATTGTGTTTTTGTGCACTAAAATTAACTTAAATGTATTTTTTTACTGACATTTTTTGATTTGCTAAGGAGTTGCGCTAATATTATACAACATGAAATTTGCAACTGCCATTATTATTATTATACAGGATTTATATAGCGCCAACAGTTTGCGCAGCGCTTCACAATATAAGGAAGACATTACAATCACAATACAATTCAAGACAAGATGGTAAGGAGGGTCCTGCCCGTGAGGGCTTACTGCCATCATTTTATTCAATAGGGTCTCTGCTTTCAGGAAATATATCATTGTTGGGGTGAGGTTAAAGTAATTTTCAGTGCAAAAATGTGGAATATAACATGTATGCCAAAAAATGCAAATATGGCTCTGGCAGCAAAAGGGCTAAAGTGAGATTTGGTGATGTCACTATCGTGCTGCTCACCGTTCTCCAATCTAGAGAAAAAGCTGTATCTAAGGAGCAGCATTACAAGGCCCTCCCTTTATCTGCCTCATTTATTATGTCATTCTGTGCTTTGTGAACCTCTACTAGCCTTCAGATCATCAGGGGGGCAACTCTGGCATGAGAAAGCAAAGCCCTGCCTCTGCCAAGATGGAAACCTCCACACAGACCCACTGCTTGCCCCTTTTGGACACAGCTTTAACAGCTCAGCTCCTCTTTAAAGTAAAGAGACCTCGCAGTATACACAGTTTAAATGTATTTTTCTATTGTTGCAAGAAATAAGGTGATATCCACCCTTAAGCACCTATTCTCAGGGCAAATCATGTGCCAGGCTGTATATGACTTAGAGGCAGCAAGGCATAATCTAGTCCAGCAGATGTCAGGGGATAAAATAAAGACTATTCTAGTGCTAGATTTTCTTTTTCTTAAAGTGGAACACTGGCCCGTTGACCCCTTATATTTACCGAAATCTTTGCCAGATTACGAGCCTTTTATCTTCTTCCCTGCAGAGAAAGAGGGTCATTCTTCGGATGCCCACATCACTACCTGGGTGATGTGGACCCTTCCTATTGCCTGTCCAGCAGTGGAGTCATCCTGGGTCTTGAAGACTGCAGCAACACTATGAAGAAGGACAGCTACAAGACCGGTTGCCACTCATGAAAGGGGCAATGTCAGGGAGAGTCATATGATGACAGATTTAGGAAAGTTAAATATGCTATTAAGGGTTTTTTTTTAAATGGGGGAACAGATGGGGGATGTGCATAAAAATGATATATGGCATTCAATTGTTGTTTTATAGAAAAGTTGGTTACCTTTTCCAGTGCATCTTTATCAGTCAGATCTTGGACAGCTAGAAGCTTGATGCTAAAGATAAAAAAAAAAAAACATACGTAAGCACCTAGACACAGTATAATAACTATTATAGAGCTGAATAACTGTGATTTTTGCAACCTGTAACACAATCTTTCATATAAATAGTGAAGTGAAAATAACGTGTGCCCAAACTGAACTCTGGCCAGATAGAAAAAGCCACCACCTATATATTAGTTAAAAAGAAATTACATTTTTATTTTGAAATAAAACTAGGATTGGTAACAGAATCTGTCCTTATATTAGCGGTGTAGTGCCAAGTGCATAGAAGCACACAGACAAGGAGAAAGAGAACCAGCAATGTGAGCCAGTCACGCTTTATTGCATTGCACAGGTCTGTCAATGTAACAAATAATTTTTAGGACAACTGCTTCTTTTTGTCTAGGTGCTAAAAAAACGTTATACTCACCCGAACTGCTGAGACGGTTCCCTGAAGCTTTTTTCCTCTACTGGAATGTTCCTTGGCATCCTCATGTCTATATACAGTGTATAGAACGTGATGATTTACAGAACCTTAGACTTTTGTAGCGGAGGGGGAGAGAGGCTGGAAGGACCAATGTAAGAGCAAGCCAGCTCCGAGGTTGCAAAGAGTATAACTTTATCTTTAGCACCTAGACAAAAAAGAGTAGTTAACCCTTGCAGTGAAGGGGTAGCCCCACTGCAAGTGTTAAACAAAATTGTGCCTGGAGGTCTTCTTTAAAGCTAGCCACACACATCACAATCTGATTGCACAGGTTTACTTGCAGTGTGAGGTCCTACATGACTGGATATAAATTTACTGATTTTAAATTCTACCTCCAGCCAAAAAGTCTCTTTTCACTTCGGATATAGTAGGACAGGGTTAGACTGCTCTCTTTGGTTTGACTGATTAGAGTTTCTCTTACTCTTTTATCCGAGTGACAACAGGAAAGAAATCCATGGTGTTAGATATTAATCAGATGGAAAAAGATTTAAAAAAAATGGTAAGCTGTTAATTGCTAGCATTAATCAAGCAGGGTGGGGGTTGAGAAATGATTAAGAAATTAAAAATAACAAAAATCTGCAACACTGAGTGCCAACGTTTTGCCTCAACGTTTTCCCACCTTTTAATTTTCCTTTCACATGATTGGCTAGTCTTTGCAAATTCACATTTCACCACATTCACTAAGCTAAAGGAAACTTCCCCTGCAAAGTACAATTTTTTTGCATAGTGAACAGCATATTTGCCTTTAGCAAATCGACCAGAGTAACCTAGGCCAGAGTTTCAGGGAACTGCAATCAACCTTAGCATATATAACATACAGTATACTGTAGGTTACATATAGTGTTCACAACATGCAGACCAGGCAGTGACCAAAGGTCTAGTGATCATCTGCCACAAAGGGAGCAGAAGGGGCAA